GGAGTGGGGCGGCTCCTCCCCCGGGGCGGGGCGCGCACACGCGGTGAAGGGCGCACGTGGCCCGCCCGGGACTCGGGTCTGGGCTGGCAGGCTCGGTCTAGGTTAGGGTAAGACAGTTTGAGTTTGGGGAGCGCAAAGGCAGTGTCCCGCGTTCTAAGGGGGGGAAGCGAGGAAAGCACCGTTTCCCGGGCCTCTGGGCACCCCCGGGGACGTGCGTTCTATCAACAGAGGTTGCCGCGGCAGAATCTTTCATGGGTTTCCCAGATCCCTTAACCCTGACAGGGCCTCGCCGTGGATTCTGAGGGGCGGCTGTGAACCGCATCTTATCCCCTCTAGGCGCTCTTCCCGAGAGCGTCGAGGGGAACAGCCCCGAAATACATAAGGAAGGGCGCCGTCCAGAACGGGGCCGCGCGGAATCGGCCGGCCCGGAAGAGCAGCCAGGCGTGCGTCGGCCGGAAGCGTCCCCCGGAAGGCGGAAGCGGGCGGCTCCCGCGTGGACCCGCGGGTGCCCCGGGAGCCCGGCGGCGCAGCCCACTGACACAACCCTCTGCTCTCGGGGAACCGACACTACTTGGAACACGTGAGGTGCAAGGGCAAGGCGCTGCCAGGGCGGGCGTCTGTCAAGAAAAGGACTTATATTTTTCAAAAGGCAACCGATTTAGGTCTGTACCGTGAAGTACTGTTGCAGGTTCCAGACAGGCCGTAATGCACGCACGCATGCATTTATACAGCGTGGTTGATATTTGACAAGCACTTGTGTTGGTCCAGTATGCCGCTTTTCAGACACTGATATGTGATAGAGAAGTGTTAATATCCATTTAAAAAAAAGTAGCACGAGTATTCGCTCTAGAGTAAGTACTGGAGCTCTAGAAATCACTGCAGGGATCAGTTATGTATTGAAGGCAGTAGGTTTAGAGAAGCTCTAAACAAAAACCAAGGCCCCCCAACTTCAAAGTGTACTTGTAGCTACACCACCACCCGCCCTCCCTCCCCCGAATTTGGCATACAGTCACTAGTAAGGTGTATTCAATTTTTATTAATCTTCCTCACATACACTATGCTCTGAAATAGAAAGTCCTGTCTGACAATCATTCCATGCTTTTGGGTTTATATACCAAATTCATTTTCTGTGTGAGTCTGTCTTGTACTGAGAATAGCTATAAAAATCTCTAACTAGGCCTGGCGCCTTGGCTCACGCCTCTAATCCTAGCACTCTGGGAGGCTGAGGTGGCCTGAGCTCACAGATTCGAGACCAGCCTGAGCAAGAGCAAAACCCCGTCTCTAAACATAGCAGGGCATTGTGGTTGACGCCTGTAGTCCCAGGTACTTGAGAGGCTGCGATAAGAGAATCACTTGAGCCCAAGGGTTTGAGGTTGCTGTGAGATATGTCACAGCACTACCAAGGGTGAAAAATTGAGACTATCTCAAAAAGAAAAAAAACTCTAACTAGTAATTTCATACTATGACATTCCAATCTTAATGCATCAGGTTTAATTTCTTCCTATAATCCTTGGAAAGGGAATCACAAATCCTAGGTTATGCCCTTGATTTGAAATTATTAGAGACTAAAGTTCTGCTCTGAATTCTAGCATAAGAGTATAATTAAGTCAAGTATATAATAGGCCAATTTCACAAGAATGTTGCTTTCTACACATCCATTCCTTTGCTCTTGTTTTCACAGAAAGAAAAAAAAGATGTCTCAAAAGCAGATGAAGGAAGCTTTTGTCAGTAACCTCAATGGAACCAGCGTGCTGGAAATCACCCAGGGCTTATGTTATCCTGCATTCTGTATCCTATGTAGAGGGTTCCTGATCATTTTCTCACAGCACTTGTGTTCTTTTTCACATACCTGGAAAACTAGATTCTTCATTGACTTTATTGTCCTAATACTTCCCCTGGTGGCCACCTTGACCATTTTGTCTTCATTTATCCTCCTTGAGCTTCTCGCTGTGATTATCTTTGGGGCAGGGCTGTTTTATCAAATATACCAGAGGAGGACTTGCTATGCCAGAGAGCCTGTCCAGAAAATCCTTGAAAAATTCTTCACAATCAGTCTAGAATCAGAATACATTCCAGCCATCTCCTGTTTCCGTGTAATTAACAGTGTGTTTACTGCTATTGCTATTTTGGCTGTGGACTTCCCACTTTTTCCCAGAAGATTTGCCAAAACTGAGCTGTATGGGACAGGAGCAATGGATTTTGGAGTAGGTGGCTTCATTTTTGGGACTGCAATGGTTTGTCTAGAAATCAGAAGGAAAGACTATATCAAAGGATCCAGATTTCATTATTTTACAAAGTCATTGTACTCTGTTTGGCCATTAATGTTACTAGGAATTGGACGATTAGTCATTATAAAATCCATAGGCTATCAGGAACATGTAAGTGAATATGGAGTTCACTGGAACTTTTTCTTTACCATGATAGCTGTGAGAATGATAACATCTCTACTGTTGATTATTTTTCCTTTAAATAAATCCTGGATTGTGTCTCTCAGTATTACTGTATTATACCAGCTAGCTCTCGACTTTACCCCACTAAAGAGGTTAATTTTGTATGGCACTGATGGCAGTGGCACAAGGGTTGGTCTATTAAATGCTAACCGAGAAGGAATAATCTCTTCATTGGGGTATGTGGCAATACACATGGCTGGTGTGCAAACAGGGTTATATGTAGGTAAGCACAGATCACATATTAAAGACTTGATAAAAGTAGCCTCTTGTCTGCTACTGGTAGCTATTAGCCTCTTCATATCACTCTACATAGTTCAAGTAAATGTAGAAGCAGTATCTCGAAGAATGGCCAATTTAGCCTTTTGTATTTGGATAGTTGCTTCTAGCTTGATCCTCCTTAGTAGTTTATTATTGGGTGATATAATTTTGAGTTTTGCCAAATTTCTAATTAAAGGATCTCTAGTACCATGTTCTTGGAACTTGATCCAGTCACCTGTCACAAATAAAAAGTATTCAGAATCTCAAGTCTCTGAAGTTCAAAGAAAGGAACCTAGTCTTTGCTTGATCACAGCTCTAAATAGAAAACAGTTAATTTTTTTCCTGCTGTCCAATGTAACAACTGGTGTGATCAACCTGATGGTAGATACATTACACAGCAGTACCTTACCGGCCTTGTTTGTGCTCAATCTCTATATGTTTACTAACTGTTTAATTATATATGTACTATATTTGCAAGATAAAACTATAAAATTTTGGTGATAAATGGTATGATGTCTCTGTATTTGAGCAACAATTATTGTGGAAAAATAAATATTACATGTAAGGAAAATGTGCTTTGGCACCCCAATGTTAAACTATATTATAAAATTAGAGTTTTAAAACTCTGTAACAGTAGTGATGCTTAATTTTAATTGTATCTTAACACTAAAAACAAACCAAAAGAAACAAACCTCTGTGACTTTTTAGAAATTAATAAATGTATATATTATATATACATATATTTTGAGACAGTCTCACTGTGTCACCTTGGGTGGAATGTCGTGGTATCATCATAGTTCACAGTAATCTCAAACTCTTGGGCTCAAGCGATTCTCTTGCTTCATCTTGCAGAGTAGCTGGGACGATAGGTGCTCACCATGACACCTGGCTAGTTTTTCTATTTTTAGCAGAGACTAAGGTCTCACCTTGCTGAGACTGGTCTTGAACTCCTGAGCTCAAGCAATTCACTTGCCGTGGCCTCTCTGGGTACTAAGATTACAGGCATGAGCCACTTTGCCTGGCCAAATGTCAATATTTTAAAGCAACTTTAGAGTTGTGACTCTGGAAGATTGGAGGGTGGGAAGGATTTTTACATTTTAATACCACTTTATGCCATTCTTACTGTGTATTTTATAATATTTACATTAAATGAAATGTTTAAAACATTTCAGTGTGAATTGTGGATTGTCAATTCTTTTCTTTCTTTTGAGACAGAGTCTTACTTTATCATCCTCAGTAGAGTGCTGTAGCATCACAGCTCACAGCACCCTCCAACTCCTGGGCTTGGGTGATTCTCTTGCCTCAGCCTCCCAAGTAGCTGAGACTACAGGTGCCTGCCACAACACCCAGCTACTTTTTTGTTGCAGTTTGGTTGGGGTCGGGTTCGAACCCACCACCCTAGGTATATGGGTGGTGGCCTACCTACTAGAGTAGGGTACCCAGCGCCCTACCCACTGAGCCACAATTTAATTTTTTAAATAAAACCTAAGAATAGGAAGAAAGCATGTGGGGGG